CACGGTACCCTTGTTTTTGTCGATTGCGATCGGGAACATGATGACAGAGTGGTACTCACCAAGCCGGTTAAAGAATATGTATGTCCCGTTTTGTCCTGGCGTCCACTATAGAGACCTTGCAGACAGGGACCTACTGGTTCCTTGGCCAGATCGCCGAGTCCCGTATTATTATCGCATTCCCGATCGCAACAGACAAACGAGACAGGCCCGTGGCTCAGTGGTAGAGTGTTGCACTCAGTGACTAAAGGCCTCGGGTTTAAATCTCGGGTGTATTTTGGTCAAACAGGAAAACGGGCCTCTACACGCCTACGCGAACATTGATTGATAGTAAAGAGGCGAGACCACTTGTCCGAAGTTGCTATGCATACACTAGAAACTGGGCGCAAAGTTGAATGAGACTAAACTTGCATTGTTGGCTCCTGCTCATCTAAGAAAGTGCGAGTATTTCTAGAGGCCATTAACTCCGATTACTTGTATCTTAATCGGCACACTGAATTGGACGCCGTGTGGATAAATCTCAAAAAGGCATGGAAAATACGGCAGCCAATCCGGACGAGATGCCAAAGAATAGAGACGGCCACTGGCATGTATGACTAGGCATTGTTGGTTCTTTTTTTCAGGCAGGCTTAAATTCGAACTCTTCTGTACACTCACTACACTTCTAACGTGAACTATGCAGCCAGCGTCGCAGTTCAGGTCAGCTGTGATGACAGTCTTACCAAGTACAAGTAAGTACAGGTTGTGCGTGGCGTGCGTAGAGGGGTTGTTTGGTTATCGCAATCATCATACTCATTCTCCTGTCGGGTCCTCTTGCTGTGGTCCTGCCATCGGAACACATTGTACAGGAAAAGGGGGAAAGAATTGGGCAGATACTGCAAGATTCTGAGCTACCCTTAAAGATCCACACTCAAGTTACCCGTGTGCCTGCGTCGTGGGGTCTTTGGCAGTCCGCGCCACTTGTGACAGGCGAAAGTGACATTTCCTAAGGGAATGCAATACGTCAAGTAATTACGCATGCTACTAATTTTTATTCAGTAGGTTGTAATACTTAGAGCAGTGAAGTGATACGTATATTTGCAACAATGAGCAAGGTACTGTGACTTACAACCTTTTCTTCTCCTAAGAATCGCAGAATAACTTAATTTGCAATATTTACTTATTAAACCATCTGCATAATGGGTATTTGCGGAATCCTGTCTCTATCTTCAGGTGGATAAAGGGCCCAAAACAGAAACCATTCCGCTCAGAGTCGTGTCTGGTGACACTACAGAATCGGTATGTCCTGGCGATCGCTAGCCTTTCTGCCTTTCCTGATTATACGAAGTCTGTGGTGTACTGCGAGCCAGGTCGTGCTGTCATCAACGATAGTGATGCCTTCTTTCGCATTCCATCCGCTGCTGGCTCTACTTGGACCAAGCCAGCTCCATCCTTGCCGGAGGCACTATGGCAATGCAGGGCTGCCGAATTGGACGATCGCATCTTCGTGGTGGGTGAATGTGTCAGTGAGTTCACCACTGTCAGGGTTGCCGTCTTCTGTCCTCAGATGGGTGTTGACAAGAACAATTCACTGCGACTTGGGGGACAGTGGTTTCTACTGTCACCAGAGTCCTCGCCATCCTGGCTTTCTACTAACCTCGTGAGCCACACTGGTCGCCTTTATCTCTTCGGTACGCGCCTTCTGTACTTTCATTAGTACCTCCTGTTCATTTTCCGAAACCTCAAAACTCGGATCGGACACAAAGTTCTGGGACACCACTCGGGTTTGTGTATGACTGGCTGACGACGACTAATAAGCCAGAAATGGTCA